AGCCAGAAGTTGCCAGTTTCCACAGTTACGGAGTCTCGGCCAGATTTTGGTTTAGTCAGTTTGCATCTCGGTAGTCTTTGTGACAAAAGGCGTGGAAGAGGCTCTTGTTCTTCGCAGGGATTATGCTTAACCACAATGGGTGTTAAATAAATGCATGTGCTGAAAGCAGATGCCAGACTGTGCCTGTCAGGCCATTAACGACCCGGGAGGCAAAGGCAGGTGAGGAACCTCGGCTCCGAGCAGGCAGCAGGGACTGCCCGGTCGGAAAGCGCAGAGCGATGGAAGGGCAGGGGGAGCGGGCAAAGGATCGCGGCGCAGCAACCGCAAAGGTGCGAGGGCTTAAACAGAAAAACCCACACAAGCTCGAAAATGCACATATTAGAACTTCAGCATGCAAGAAGACATTGGATTTACTTCTGGCTGTTTAATGGTGAATTTCCAGCTCTGTCAAGTGAGAATGTTTTCTGTCAATATTCCTGCAGCAATACATCTTGTCACTATGTTTAAGCACAGATGGTTATGTAGCTTCTGTATGAATCTGGCACGTGGGGGCAACACCAAGCTTTCAATTGCTTTATCTTTAAAGATAAGGATGATACCATCCTGATAAACTGATCTAAATCTGATGAATCCATGAGAGATCACATGGAGATACAGAAAGAGGAATCAATAAAGCATTAACAGATGCTAGAGTTGCTGCCTGTAAATCAATTTGGAAGCGTCCAGTACACTGCAGTTTGTAAAATACACCTCAGGCTGTAATTGTGAACTGGACTAAGCTACGAAAGAATAAGCATCAAGATCCAGGAGCCAAGGACTTGCAGCAGGCTGTGAGTGGTACACAGCTGAAGGAATAAATCAGCTGCATTCCCCTAGCAGAGGAATCGGTGAGGTCTGAGCAGTCTCTGACTTCTCTGGTTGCCAGCAGCACCTGTACTGCTCCACACCAGTGCTTTGGGACGAGCTGGAAGGGCAATAAAACTAGAATTCAGAGGGCAAACAATGAAAATTAAACTCTGGTCAGGGGTCTGGTGAAAGGAATTTTGAAAAATTTGCCTATGCCATGAAGAATATTTCTATAAACTGGTTCATGAGTGCTACAGAAATTCACCTCATGTCCCTGTAGATAACGAAGCTGATTCAGCTGAAATCTGTGGTACGGATTTTGAGTGTGGTGTCTTAGCTGAAGTATAAGATAGCAGGGAGTAATAGCAACAATGACCAAAAAAAAATGAAATTCAAGTGTCTGTGTGCTTCATCGTTACAAAATCTCTCTCTCGTTGAGTAGCTTTTGCTGAGTGATGCCCATGCTATCAGCCTGGATGCCACGTCTCCTTTCCCTGGAGAAAATGAGTTTGACACGTGGGCTCCATGGGCAAGGGCGAAGAGGCAGCATCACTGCAAAGGCAGAGCTGCTCTGAGATGAGCGTGGGCAATCTTACCACTGGGGTGCTGGGACCCCCAGCCTCCCTATTCAATGACCCCTGCGGTCCAACGGGTAAGCATTAACGAAGTGGTTGCGGTTTCTGCACGGCATATGCCCTGCGGGAGTAATCCTCTGCTGCAGGACAGATTGTGGTCTGCCAGGCGCTGGCTGCTTACTCCATACCCTTTGCTAGGCTAGATGCAGAGAACTTGGTCGCAACTTTGCCAAATACGCTGGGGTGGAGCCCAGCAAAAATCTGTCACAGTTGCAGGTTGAAAGCTGTCTTTTCTGCCTGCCAGGCCTGCATGGGCTGTCTGGGGCCATAAGCCAGGCTGCTTCCATTTTGGCTTTTGGGTAGACCCGAGAAGTTTCTTCTCGTCCTTCAGCTTGCTTTCCCCTGCTCCCTGGCCCTTTCCCCATCCAGAAATGTGCATGCTGAACATGGTAAGGCCTGAGAAAGTTGTTTTAAAGGTTATTTTATTTACCTTTACCAGAAGCATGTTTAAAAGAATGAGTAATTTGAGCTTTCACTTTTTTTTTCCCCTCGTTTCCAAGAGGAACTGTGAACACAACTCTAAGTAATGCTTTGTATCTAAGGAATAAAAGGAATGCTAAATATGAAAACTGTGTTCTCTTCCACATTAGAGAAAAAGTAACTTTATTCAAGGAGTCAACATACTTCTAAATAAATAAGTGGCTGCAGAAAGCCTGCAAGCTTTTGTTATCAGTGAAGGAAAAAACAAATACAAGCCGTGGGTGAGGGATGCTCCTCCCCATGTGATCTGTGTGGGGAAGGGTTTTGTTGCTCAGAATGAGCCTCCCACTGCTGGTGGATACCCGTCAGAAAGGTTTGGACCATAAGAGCAGTGTGATTTCAGCACGGTTTCAGCCTGGCACTCTAGCAGGGTACCAAGTGGCTTTGTTGGGTTGGGATCACTGAACCTGTGTTCCTGCCTCAGGGTATGGTCCCAAGCTAGGTGGTCCCCGATGTGCCAACAGCTGGATTATCTAGCAGTATCAATTCCAACTGGAGGAGGACACAAGGCGGTATGTTTAAGGAGTTCTCCAGGAGCGCTGTATGGTCTTTACGTTGGCACAACGTATATGCTACTTCCCTGTTGTACCTTCTGCTTACCCTGCAGTTCAGGACTGTTCTGCTGCACTGTGAGGATACTTGGGGCTGGTTCCCACAGAGACTCTCTCTGCAGATCAATATTGCCCAGAGTGAGCCTCTGGAAAAACACCACACTACCGGCACGCTCAGCATTGCAGCTCTGCAAAGGGCCCGGGCCGTACTCATGTACTCCTGTTCTGGGAAGCTGCGACCAGGCAGCAGTCCTGCCTGGGGAAATGCAGATGTGGAGTTTCCTCTTTCCTCCTCAGAAAGGACCACAGAGACCCAGATGTGTTAAACCTGGAGGTTTATTAACCTCGTAGTTATTAACCACATTCTTTGCTGACAAAGTCACAACGTTGTTGGGCTGCAGCCAGCACGGTGCTGGGGTGCAGAAGAGGGTATGCCACAGACTGGAGACAATCAGCTGGCAAAGACGATGTAGCTGAAAGCCTGTGGCAATCCCACTCCTTATTTGATGGGAAACCAATGTAAGTGTGCCATTGCCTGGAAGGTAAAGCGGTAAGCTGATGGCCTTTGTCTCCCATCAGTCAGTTTGCCCCTGGGAAGTTTGCAGCCAGAATACAGTGGCAAAGCAGCTCACGGAAGGATCTTACCCCTGCTTCACAGCATCTTGCTGTACTGCCCTCAATTTTCTTGTAAACCCATTTCAGAGGCTTAATCTTAGCCCTGTGGTGTTCCAGGCCCTGCGCTAATGCATCCGTGAGACTGTTTTCAGGACCCTGAAGAGGGTTTCTGCTCCTCTCCAGAGCCCGAGTACTGTGGGTACGTCTCTCTGGGTCCCAGACAGTGACCTAGACACTATCTGCTGAGCACTCGGTCTCTGCATGAGAGCCTTATTTTGATGAGTCAAGGCACGTCTCTGCTGCCCAGCGTGGGTGAGCTGTAACATTACCTGGATGTCTGGAGGCCAGACGTCCTAGTGCAAGCTGCCTCCTGACTGATGTGCTCTACCGCAGGATGGAGGCTTCTCCCAGAGCTCTAGAAAGGAGAACATTCATCCCTGTGGTTTGTTTCTCAGGCATTTCCCCAAATCCATAAAGGCCGGGGGGGGGAGAAAGAAGACAGTGTTTTTGGATTGTTTCATGATCCCTGGGAACTGTTTTTTTAAAGGAAAAGAAACGCCTAGGATCATTTTGAATCATTCAAAATGTTGTTGTTGAGTAGAGCAAAACATCTATTCTGATTGTGATTCTTAACTATCAATTTATAAGTAAACAAAATCAAAATGTTGTTTAATCTTTACTCTTAAAAAATCTGCTTGGATACTTTGTCAAACTTGGCTTTCATAATTTTGAAGAAGTGGTATTTTCCAGTGGAGATGGTCAGAACAATTTTGCCCAGCTGTTCTTATTACTCTTTCGGTAGAACGTGCTAACGTTAGTGAGCGTATGCTAGAACAGCACAGACGAAATTGCAAGGGCAGCTGGGGAGTCTTCACTGTAAGAATTCTGTATCGTGTGAAGTCAAAGATCCTCAGGCAAACATAGCTAGAGACAGCAAATCTCTCAAAGGGCTAAAATCCCAGCTGAGTCTCAAATTCACCGTGCAGGAGAGAAAGGGCTGTAATCCGCTAAGGAAAGCAGATGTACAAGAGTCATTCTGGCAGCTACATCTGTCGTGCTGCTTCCCCCCACCCTGCCTCCTTAAACCCGCTCTTCCTTCCAGTCATATGTGCTTTTCTCCTCGACGACAAAAATAGGCAAGCACAAATGTCAATCATGTGAAATTTATTTCTTAGGACGGATGTTCTTTCCTCATCCTACGTCGCAGCCCTACCGAGTCCCAACGCTCCCTCAGCCTCCAGGGGAAGGCTCTCACCGTTTTGGCCAAGCAGCGGGGCTAGGACTCCCTGAGGTACGCCGCAGCCACCCGGCTCCCCCCATCCCACGGAGCGGTGCTGGGGAGAGACACGCTCCCCGGCCCTGCACCGCGCAGCCTGCTCCTTACGGATCCCCTCAGGGAGCGGGGGGGGCTGCCATCTTGCACCGCGTTCCTCCTGCTGCGTGAGGTAAATGGGCGCCAAGGGCTGGATGGCGTCGAGGAGGCCGACGTTCCCCCTGCCCCGTCGCTGACAGGCACGGGGCTGAAGCGCGCGGGTAGACCCGAGCTGTGCTCGGAAAAGAAACACGTCCCGGGCAGCCGGAGCCCCTTCCCCGGGCCGCCCCCACTGTCCCTCAGAGGGCGCGTCCCCCCCGACCGCCATTTCGGGCACCGCGGCGCTGCCGTTGCCCCCTCCCGCCGGTAGGCGGCGCCATTATCCCCCACCTCGCTGCGCTGCGGGCGGGCGGACGGACGGACAGACAGCGCACCCCGGGCCGCCTTCCCCCCGACTCCATCCCACCCCCAGCGGCTCTTTCCTCGGGTTTCCCGCCGCGCCGGGGCTGCTGCCGCCGCTGCCGCTCACTCCCCGCAGCTAGGAAGGAGCCGGGCTGCCGGCCGCAGCGTGTCTTCTTCGCCGCAACCCGCCGGCGGGCAAGATGGCGCTGCAGCTTCACCCCGCTCTGTGGGAGGAGTGCCCTCACTAAAGATGGCAGCTCCCTGCGCCGTGTGGCTGGGGGACACGGTGAGGCGGCGGCACCGGGGAATGGGAACGGGAACGGGGATGGGGCGGCGGTGCGGGCTGACCCGTGTCCCGCCCGCAGGTAGAGCGGGTGCCGTGCCCCTACGACGTCCATCACCGCGTCCCCCGGGCGTCGCTGGAGAGGCACGCCGCGTCCTGCCGGCTCCGCAAGATGGGCTACTCCGCCGAGGAGGAGGTGGGTGGGTGGGCGGGCGGGGGGCTCACCCGGCCCGGGGCTGGCGCTTCTGGCCTGGGGGTATCGCCCGCCCGGCTGAGTGGAGGGCCGGGCGAGGGGGGGGACGACCGGTGTCGGCCCCCGGGGCCTTGACTGAGCCGCTTGGTCCGGCAGGCTGAGATGTACGACTCCAGCTTCTTCTACGAAAACCTCAAGGTTCCCACCGTCGCCATGGGTGAGCGGCAGCGGGGGCTGTGCCTGACGGGGCAGCCCCCCCTGGGGGGGCAGAGGATGGGGCTGAGGGGAGACCCGGGG